ATGAGCTGTGTAAGAAAACCAACACAAGTTGAGGCCGGATCTGATTCAAAAAAATCCAGGATTCCTGGAACCATCCCAAAAAAATCTTCTGATTTGAGCGACCCAACTATGGAATCGGGGAATTCCCGGCAGCTGAGGCTACGGTTGGCTGAAACCCTTGGAGGACTGGACCTTTTTGGTTCACACTTTCTTGTCCGTGAAGATTTGCTGCATGAAATTCAGTTTTTTTTTCATGAAAGTCTTGAAAGTCCATTGGTCCATGGACGTGGTAATCAATCAGTGGATGTTGGGGTATCGCTGCCCTGGTTTCAGTCTTCTGTTCTACAGTTTTTCAACTCTTTGGACCCCGGAAGCAACCTGCTGAATGAGTGAAATGATGAAAAATCCATAAAAATCCTAACTTGTGGTAAAATGATACTTTGTCACACTGAATTTCAAAGCCGCGACTTGGAGTTACGTTGAATGTTTGACTGTGATTTCTTGGAATGGTGTTTGAGAAGCAACAACAAACACCTTCTCAGATACAGTTATCTATTTTGGGTTGCTACTCTCAACGTTGATATATCACAATTGGGGTGCTTGCAGAATTTGCTTACCTTTTTGATCCTTTTTGATTAGTAGATGAGGGATGAGGGATGATTAAAGTTTATATAATATTATATAGTTATTTATAGTGTTTCTGTTGCCAATCTGAAGGCAACCCACCTTCACTTTCATGGCTGGCAAAACCTGGAAGGCGCCAGAGACTTCACCCAAAAACTCCGGGATTTTCTTCATGTTTCAGATTTTTTCCTTGAAATTCCCGGGATTCTGATCTAAACATATCCAAAATCCGTGATCTGTGGCTGTTTGATCCTCAGAGAGTTTGTTTGCTGAATCGATGCCTTCCACGCCTTGATGCGGCGACGTCTCATGGACGGCCGCAGTGCCTGTGAATGGGACGACCATTTCCGCAGCCCGACGCGTTGGGGCAGGGAGGATCCCGACAGTTGAAGGGTGACGGATCGGAACCATTCGGAACCTGCAGAATTCAGGTTTCAAAGGCAGGTGTTAAATGGTGGTACAGTAATATGCTGCAATCCAGAGAATTTTCCATCGCGAAATTCAGGCATGAGAGTTTCGGATGTTTCTGGCTCGGGCCTCGAGGTATGGGCTGTCGCCAGGGATATGGCTGTCATTGGCTAGAGCACTGTGCGCCGCGCTACGAGTTGGTCACTTGGCTGACGAGTTGGATCTTGCTGGTTGACTCATCATTTTGTTCCAGGAAAAACACGCTAGAACCACCATTTAAGAATATTTAAGAAAGCATCCGCATGAATTTTGTGCAGAAGTCAGTAGGTCTCAATATGTCTCAATATCTTTAACATTTTCTTCTGAACCCTCAGGTATTCAGCGTAAAGATAACAGTCCTGGGGTTGGGATCACAAAGATTGGCTGAACACCCATAATTGTCTCGGAATCTGATGACGTGTTGTCCAAATACGGCTTTGGTTGCTGAATGTATCTTTCATGTGTATGTAAAAACCAACAAACGATGGGTTTACTGTGGTATATGCAATGACAAACGGACATGGATATGATCGGCTAACTTAGCTTACTTTAGTCCACACAAGAATAAAGAGTGGGCATGAATCGGGTACGGTATGGGTTTTATCAATGGCCTTACGACTTTACCACCGCTCCTTCACGTGGGACAAGCTTTAGGTCCGAAGCAGAACTGGCGACCAATTTGTCGATGTGGGCTACTGACCCTCGGCCGCAGCGTTGCAGAGCTTGGGTCATTTTAGGGGACCCATGGGACACCCCAAAATTGCAATCCGCGCTGAATTTTGGGGTGCAGCATAGGTACGGTCAACCACCTTGTCTTGCCGGAGGCACTCTCAAAACACTGTAAAAAGATGTAACAAGTGGGTCCTGGGTCATTCTAGCATGCTAGCATTCCCAAAAAGACCTGTTCGTCATTGCACAAATCATCCTGAACCCTATCACCCTAAACATCCTAAAACATCCTAACACCTTAAATCCTAAACCATAGGCCATGGAAAAATCACGGGAAATCCTTCAAACCTAAACACATAAACCCTAATTATTGAATATCCTAAAAGCTTGGAAGTCTAAAAGTGATGTTGGTCGACGCGGGGTGTCTTTGCGTAGAATTATCCTACTTTGGAACAAACCCAGTGATTGATCTTCACCTAACGGTAAGGAACCTATGTCCTCGGTGTCATTGTGAGCAACTGATACAACTGTCATCATAGTATCGGATGGTGCATGTCATGGAAAGTGTTGAGGTGCTCCATCGTATTTCGAGCCCTTCGTTGTGACGATCCTGTTGCCGATGGTGATGCTCTTTTTCGTCATCCTTATTCGGCATTTGTTTAGCCTGCTTGAAGCTTGGATCTGAGAATCACCATGGCGGATATCCAAAGTCCAAAGGGAGAATATCACGTGAAATTTCTGCGCCTGCCTGAAGTAAAGAGAATAATTTCCAGCCAGTTCCAGAACATACGGTATACTCGAAACGGCCACAACCAATCCAATAAACAATGAAATGGTTTATCCGTTCATCCTCATTTTCTAGATTTTCTAGGGCTCAGCGGAGTGACATCAGAAATGCACCCATGCAGCTGGCAATGAACCCATTCTCCCATTCTCCCATTCTCCCATTCTCCGACGTCGATGATGATGATGACGATGATGATGATGATGATGATGGCGATGGCGGCCCTCGACACGCGCAGAATTCTATGATGCTTCTAGTGTCACAATGACCTTTCTGTTGGTCAACGGGCTACCTCCAGGATCCCTCCGCTTCGAAGCTTCATACCTCGGCCGCGGCGACATTCTCTGCGAACGTCCGAGCCCTGTGCGAAAGCAGCAAGGCCACTTGGCTGCGGCCATGGCGAGTGAGTAATCAGACATGGCTAGGAAATCCTCTGTAATATCCATCAATATTTATATCCTATAAATGGACATTTTAATAATTTTTAGTGACTAATCTATACGTTCTCCTGGAGATTTTCATGGAATCTATACATGGGAGTCTTCATGGATTAAGCCAATGCCATGAACCTCCCCTTGTTTGTTTTTGTAACCCATGTTTGGTAAGTCATTGTTCATGTGATATAACATGATCGAAGGAAGTTTAGAAGTGAAACTTCCGACAATATGGACAGTTGAAAAGCAGAGGTGAAAAGAGTCAGAAGAGAAAAGATCAGAAGAAAGAAGAGGTAGATGCGCGAAAAGATAGGAAAGTCGCGATTCACTGTGTTTTTCCAATGATTTGTGGCTCCGGAGGGTCGAAAAGTAGGCTCGCTAAAGCGGCGGGTGCGGAGCCAGCTGGCCAGATGAGACATGAAAAAGTGCACGCCGTTGTGGCGCGAAGCACATGTCCAAGTCAAGATGGACAAAACACTAGAGGAGCGGACCACTTTTGGAAGTTGAGATGTCGAAAAGGTGCACGCCGTTGTGGCGCGAAGCACATTTTGAAGTCAAAATGTGCAAAACCATGGTCGGACCACTTTTGGAAGTTGAGATGTCGAAAAAGTGCACGCCGTTGTGGCGCGAAGCACATTTTGAAGTCAAAATGTACAAAACACACCAGGTTCGGACCACTTTTGGAAGTTGCGATGTCGAAGAAGTGCACGCCGTTGTGGCGCGAAGCACATTTCGGAGTCAAAACGTACAAAACTCACCAGCTCCGGACCACTTTTAGAAGTTGCGATGTCGAAAAAATGCACGCCGTTGTGGCGCGAAGCACATTTCGAAGTCAAAAGTGTAAAAAACTGAGGGTTTTGAGCCTTTTTTGACGTTAAGATGTCGAAAAAGTAGACACTGATTAAGTTAACTAACTTGACTAACTTAACTAACTTCACTAACTTAACTACCCTTACTTCGACGACAACAGCAACAGCAACAACAACAACAGCAGCAACAACAACAACAACAACTACAACTACAACTACAACTACAACTACACAACAACTACAACTAGAACTACAACTACAACAACAACAACTACAACAACAACAACAGCAACAGCAGCAACAACAACAACAACTACAACGACAACTACAACTACACAACAACTACAACTAGAACTACAACTACAACTACAACTAGAACTACAACAACTACAGCAACAACAACAGCAACAACAACAACAACAGCAGCAACAACAACAACAACTAGAACTACAACTACAACTACAACTACAACTACAACTAGAACTACAACTACAACAACAACAACTACAACAACAACAACAGCAACAGCAGCAACAACAACAACAACTACAACGACAACTACAACTACACAACAACTACAACTAGAACTACAACTACAACTACAACTAGAACTACAACAACTACAGCAACAACAACAGCAACAACAACAACAACAGCAGCAACAACAACAACAACTAGAACTACAACTACAACTACAACTACAACTACAACTACACAACAACTACAACTAGAACTACAACTACAACAACTACAGCTACAACAACAACAACAACGACAAAAACAACAACAACAACAACAACAACAACAGCAACAACAACAACTACAACAACAACTACTACTACTACATCTACACTACACAACAACTACAACCACACAACACCTACAGCTACAACTACAACAACAACAACAACTACAACTACAACAACAACAACTACAACTACAACTACGACAACTACAACTACAACTACAAAACAACTACAGCTACAACTATATGACTGCAACTACACTACACTAATTACATTACACCACAACTGCAACTCCACTACGCTACAACTACAACTACAGTTGCAGTACATCACACTACATCCAGCAGTTGTGGGTGAGGTGACCACTGCAACCATTGCAACCATTCCAGCAAACACACCTCCAACCACCTTTCGGTCAATCAGTGGATTCGCTCTGCCATCCGTGATTCACAACAACCAACGTCTCCTATAGGTTTCCTATTCTGAAACTTCCGCCACCGCCTTGTGCGGTACTACTGGTCTAACCATATCGCCAAGCTGCAAAGGCCAGGTCAGTAGATAGGGACCTGGGTTTCAACTTGGTTATTCCAGGTGGTAAGTGGTCACATGATAGATTGCCCAATGGGCTATATACTCTCACCATCTCTCATCTATGTCATTATGTATATATTACATACGTAGCATTTTTAAGTATAATGAACATATGATAATATAATTATATATATATGGGTTATTATCCACTTTCTATCGGATAAATTATGAGAGGGCACAACAAATCCTCTGGAGCTACGCTGCCAGGTGAAGGGTGGCCCTCCATCGGCAGTGACTGGCCAATGAGATCTGGGTCAGACAGACCATGGACCCACCATGACCCGCCCAAAAAGTGATGATTTGATATGATTTAGTGAATTTAGTGTGCGAAGTCCACAAGTCCAACACATAATTTCACCATATTTCACCAGTTGAAAGCTGACAGATCTGACAGTCCATTCTGTAAGAGGTGTTTTTCTGTGACACGGGATCCAAGAATCGTCAGCCTCTGTGCTGCCAATGTGGCTGTGCGCTGCTTTTGGGATCTTTTGGGCGAGAAGGCGTCATGAGAAAAGCGCGCGGGGTTTGGCAGTGCCATGAATGCCAGGCCGCCAGGCATAAGTTTTTTTAGTTCTCTGAGCGTCCAGCCAAATTTGCAAACCTCATGGGGTGGTGAAGGGGATACGCTTTGATTTTGACTCCCAAGCAGAGTGGGTTTGGTTCAAACAAAAGGTCTGGCTTCCAAAAATTGTTGGACCCCCTTTGAGGCGTTGAGATTGAAAAACCATGTTTCCGTCTGTATTTTTTGGAATACTTGCAGTGCCTAGGCATGTTATGTTTCCTATGACATATCACCCACGATCGATTCTGCATGTGGGTGTTCCAGGACATAGGACAGCAGCTACAGCGCTTGTATGTCCACCGCAAAGATCTTGTGTGGCTTGGCGGCCAGTGGTAATTTATTGTGGTGATACATGTGGAAACCTTTATGTTTGGTGCAATTCTTTCATAATGAGTCCTAAACTAATACCCGTGATGATCTTTGGTCATGTTCCGATTGTATTCCTTTTGGAGACTCATTGTGGGAGGTAACAGTCTGACCTCCAGTGGAACGAAATGGCTTCGTTTGAAAATTTAATACCCTACATACTACAATCCCCTGGTTAATAATACGGAGTGGTAGCGTTAAGTCGTATCAGCTTGTAAAAGTCGTATCGGGAGGCCGTGCGCCTGGTAAAAGTTCAGTTTTGGCATCACCATAACTTTTAGTGATTGAGTGATTTCATTGTTTTGGGGCCATGCGCCTGGAAAAAGCCGCAACAGTTCCTTCCTAAAAAACCTTCGAAGTAGACTAGGGGCGCCGAGAAAACAATGCAACTCCTATGGCTGATGGATCTGATGAGATGAAGGGAATGTATTGGGGTAAAGCCTGACCAATACATTTGTGTTTTTTTCGCTGTGCGCAATAAGCCAACTTTCTGGTGTATATAACGTGCACATGTAAACATGCTGTGCCATGGTATTTTCCCTCAAAGATTCTATAATTGTATGTGCCAAATGGGCGCTGTACCAATAGGAATTTAATCTGAGGAGATGATATGGGTATCAGCTGTTTTCCAATCATTCCATTAGGATTCTTTACAAATATGAACCTTTTCAGCAAAGTATTTGTCATTTTCCCTGCTGTGCGCAATGCTTCGGCCACTTTTAGGCATATGTATCATTATAGATGAAACAGGCTGTGCCATGGTGATTCTTCTTCCCTGATGTGACTTTCCACTACCTGATGTGACTTTTCCATATCGCCGTGCCATGGGGATGATGTGACTTTTCCCGCCTGATGTGACTTAAGTACGGCGCTCGTAACAATAATAATAAACACACAATAATAATAATGATAAAATAGTATAAAATAGTATATAATACTGTAATAATAATATAATAATATATAGATATATATACACTACTGCTACTACTACTAATAATAATAATAATGGCAATCATCCTCATCCTCATCCTCATCCTCCTCATCCTGATCAACACGATTATTTTAGGAGATTGTAAAGACCCCGATTTTCAATGACACCCAGACAAAAGCCACACTGCTCTCTGATCCGCAGGGGTGTCAGCACTCCAGAGACTGGAATGGAGGTTCACTTCATGCTGTATCGCGATGCCAAGGTTGCTGGAAGGGAATGAGTTTGCCAAGGGGAGGAGTGTGAAGTGAGATGAAGTGAGGAATGGAACATGTTGGAACCTGTTGGAACCATAATATACCAAGGCTGCCAAGGGTACAGTTTTGGGTGGTAGCATCAGCAAACCAGGCCACTTGAGATCATTCATGTTGACCAGCCTGTTTTTAACGACGATCTCATAGAGTCCCCTTGGAGGCTTGCGACCGGTCCCAGCATCCGATCCGGCATGGAAGCGCTTCCGTATCCCGCAAAAACATGGGAAATGACCCTGCAGTAGAAGTTGATAAAAGTTATGCAAGATCTTCAAACTGTATCAAACTGTTATATACAACTAAAAAGGTCTTGTAAAATCTCTACCCTCTTAAAAATGAAATTTGAGGGGGGGGAGTCGTACTCAAATTTCATTTTAAAATTCAATTTTTGCATTGATTTTTCTCAATGATCAACATTCCTCGTCATTCCATATAATATCATTGGCAAACAGATGAAAATTAAATACTTGCGCTTAGCTCCGGAGGAGCCAAGCACATGTCAGACTGAAGCAGCACATGTGTAGGGGTGGCATCCCTCCAAAAATTGCGTTGCCATCATCATACTTGCGCTTAGCTCCTCCAGCTAAGCGCAAGTATTTTCTAACCAGTGCCCAAGGCTTGTCAAGAAATGTTACTTTAAAATTCCATTTGAGCAATTGGATCACTATCCCAGGGTTTCCAAGCAAAAAAAAGTTGAATTCGACAGGTTGGTTTTGTCCCCCCCCCTCCCCCTCTATAGGGGTAGGGATTTGTAAATTATTCTCTAAGGTAGTAAACTGGAGACAAGAGTCAATATTACACTAGGGATTTCACACATTATCCTATATACAATAACACACGACAGACAGATATCCTCCTGGGACCTGGATATATAAGAATTATGTATGAATAATAAGTCGACATGTATATACGTATTACATCATCATATAACATTCTTTCTATATCAAGTGTTACACAATTACACACATATATATATATATCATATATATATATAATGGTCATATACAGTCCTGAAGTAGATAGAATGTGGAATATGCAAACATTTTTCCAATAAAAAGTAAGTGAGTTTTTTGAGTTATATCATATTCTATCTACTCTGGCATGACCACATACATTTCATGCGATCTTCCAGGGTCTTGGCGCAGCCGACGTGCAGCCGGCCCAGCCCCAGCCATTGGTTCCAGCACCGGCGGTGAAGGAGGAGGCGCTGGATCGGTCGTGATGTTTGAATCTGAAGATTTTACAAAAAAATGGGATAAATAGAACTTATTCCAAAACCGACTCTTTGTGTTTTTTCCTTACAAAAGTCTGGATGCAACACACATCGTGATACAAAAAATAGGCCTTTTAAAGGTGGAGATAGTTCGACCATGTTCGACCCAACAAAAGCTGAGGAGCTCCTTCTAGTGGGATGGAAGAAGGTGTGGTGCGAGGAGTACCAGGAGCTGCAGATGGGGCTGGACATGGCTGGACAGCTGCCTAGATCATCCCAGAATCTCCCATTTTCCTGGAGAAGTCTTGAATATTGGTGGAAAAACAGGCTAGCATTAGATGATCCTCATAACTCATATATGATTATATATGTAATATATATATATATTAGACATACATATATATATACATACATACATACATACATACATACATACATACATAGATAGATAGATAGATAGATAGTATCAATCTCCCAGATGGATCTCCTGTCAACGATTGCTTTTGACCCTTACCACCAGGAGTGGTACTTCTGGAACCATGTGAGCAAGGAGTCCAAGTGGACACGCCCAAAGGTCGGCGAGCCAGAAGAAGATAACACGCTTCCAAAGGCCGGAGGGAGCTAAGCTTGGGGGAACTACACACAAGATGACTTGAGAATATCTGAGAATACCTACGATTCTTGTTGGGATTTCGGACATGGCTGAGATTTCTGGAAGGCACATGGTTTGGCTTCAGGATTTGTTTTGACTGGACCTGCAATTTTTCAGAACACTGGACGATTGTTGTACCTTGCTAAATCAGTTGCCTTTTTTGTTGAAGGTCTACAGAAAACCATGAGAATTTAACATTTCCCACCGCTTGTCAAAACAAGTACTCTCCGGCAAAATTGACTTGGAAGTAGACAGTGTTCCAGGACGGAAATCCAACGTGCAAGCGGCTGAGGTTTCAAACTTCAAGATTACGAAGAAGGAATATCATATGATTCCCCATTGTAGTTCACCACTCTTATATCACATATACTTACCATCGCTGGGTTTACATCCCAGTTTAAGAACAGTTTCTAGGTTGGTGCGTCGCCAGGACTGGCAGAGAGTTTACGACGTGGAGCGAGGCGGGCTGCACATGGCAAAAGGAATTGATCATGTCACAGGCTGAGTATGGAGGTTTCCTAAAATGGGTGATCCCCCAAAAAATAGGTTTCAACACTAAGTCATTGTCAAATTTCGGATGATTTGGGGGCGCCCCCATTTTAGGAACCCCCCATTGCCACGATTTGTACAGCGGGTATCCCGAACCGTCCTGGCCACCAGCGACCAGGCATGTACTACTACTGGAACAGAGTGACCCGGAGATCCACCTGGGACCGGCCAGAAGAGTCGAGTCAAATGCAGCAGGCATCAACTTCCCAGTGCTACCTCTGGCTGATGGAAGATGGGAGTTTTAAAAGATTGGAGTAACTCCATAACTATTGGTTTCCGTCTCAATTTTGAATGATTATTGGGGTCCCTGATTTTTAAGAAACTCCCATGTCAATCCATATGATGGGATGATTGTCAAATCCACGGAGCGAAAGACCACATTCTCTACCAGGGATTGATCACTATGGATGATCCAAAATAATGCAGTGACCGAACAGGAACAGGCACAATACGCGAACATATGCTAACCAGTATTTGCGCGATATCCACAAGGGGTTGGCCACAGCTGATGCAGGGAAAGTATGTGACTACCAGGTCTGGTTGCATTCAACCTCCCCTGCGTGATGAAGACATATTCTCATCCTCCTGACAAATAGATATTTTTATCCCTGACAAATATTCTTCTCACTCAATTCTTGGGACCCCAAAATGAACAAATCAAGTCCTGAACCCGGGTCTCTGGGCCGGGTGTTTATTATTTTTATCCTGAGGGGGAAGAGAATAACATATATATATATATATTATATTTATCCCTTAACTTGTTCACAAGATTCACAAAGCCGTCGTCTGGAGTAACTGAGGGGTGAAACCAATCGCGTTGACCAGTCCCTTCAACTGTTTTGCCCAGGGACTTCTAAACCACGATCCACCTTAAAATATATCAAAATCAATTATGACAATTACTTGGACGATGCCTTCGGAGTTGGTGGCACAATTATCCCCATTCAGTTAGGTTCCCCACTGGGTGGCACAACATACCACTATACATCCCGGATGAAACCCTGGCCCACTATACATCTTGGATTAAAACCTGGCCCAGTTTTTTTTCCCCAAAGAAGTTGATTGGAATTAGTCCTGAAACATCTTACCGCAACCAATAAACACCAATATTTCACTCGAAGAAATCAATCCCAGTAATTACAGTATGGCCACGGTTCGTGTCGGTGCGGTTTCACAAGAACCTAACTTAATGTAGGTACGTTTCGGTTACAGCAACGTTTCGGTTCCATTCAGGCCAGTTCGTTTCCACAAGAACCTAACCTTCAACAGGTACGGTTCGGTTCATTACCACGGTTCGGTTTCATTTTGGTCGGTGCGGTCCCACAAGAACCTAACCTCAAGCGCGTACGGTTCATTTAGAGCATGTCTTCGTTGCTACGTGTCGGTTTTCGGGTTCCTGCGGTTCCTAACTCTATGATTTTGAATAGAGGCATTGTAGCCGCAGTATGAACTACATATTCGGATGTTTATGGATCATACAAGGGGCACCTAGATCATCCTAGATTCACTTTCAATTCCCACCTGCCGCAAAGGCCCCTTGAAAGCAAAGAATCAAGAAGCTGCAGGCGCGTTATGTCAGGGCAAAGTATCGGCAAAGGCCTCTCCTGGTTGCATGAATCGGGGCCATGCAAGACAATCAGTTTGGTAACCATCCCCAAATCGATGCTACTCTTTTTAAGTGTGTAGTTTTCTTCGCCCTTGGAATTCCAGGGCTTGTTAAAATCGCGTCCCTTGGGAGCTGCCGCTTCCTAGGGCTTCAAAGTGGTTTCCAAGTGGTTTCAAAGGAGTTTTCACAGCTGATCCAAATTTAAAATTGGAAAATCAAATTTGCATGGAGGTGTCAGTAACACATGCATTTGTAAATGGGCTAATCTTCTGCAACTGGAAGCAACTGGGGCCCAACTTCTTTGGTGTATATGCAGTATGGTTGTTTCTTTGTTGTTGAAACCACGTGACGCTGAAATGCTGTTCACCCATGTGCAACCGAACAAGCTGCTTTCTGTCTTCCTGCCGTTGCAGGTGCAGCAGTGTTGGCTTCGAATGGCTTCTATTAGCTTAAGGCGCCTGGTGATCTGTGCCACAGGGGCTTTGAGGAAACTTGTGGGCAGCATGTGCTACTGAAGGGGCCAGAGGTAGTGGCGTGAACGATGACAGAAGATATGGCCAATACGTATCCGATGTCTTCTTACTGATGGCGTGTCGTTGCTCTGTGTAGTTTCAATGAATCCCGTGGAATTCCGGGGCTCTTAAAGGTATATAAGTACTTCGGAATAATTATCAATCGAATCTCTTCTTGTATGGGATAGATCGTCGTCATTCCACGGTTTCTTGCATTGCCCGTTTGGGTTCGGGATGCAGCTTGACAAGAAGGGGTCATGGTCCATAGTTTTTCTCAGCAACACTCAACACATGTCCGATGACAATTTTTCTGCATATCATTCTGGCAATCTTTCAGAACCAACCAGGATATGGGAACCACAGAATGGAACCAACATTAGAGTTCGAAAGCTAAGGGTCCTTTTGCACCAATTTGCAAGGCGTATAGGAAGGGATGACTAGCTTGTATTTGTATCTCCAGCTCATCAGGATAACCTGGAAACATATTACTATATTAATAAATCTATTATGACTAATTTAAGTTGAGATATATCGACCCCTGAGCCCCCATGTAGCATGTATAATAGTCTAGCCTAGTTCATCTCTCCATGGCTGACGGTATAGTCTGTTGCTATCTAAGTTCTTGTCCGAGGAACGAGTATATTTTACATAAGTTCGTCTCATGTGGTAAGATGGTTGCCAAGCGCAACTTATGGACATTTCAAACTGGTTTCATGGTTTTGAACTGTTTTCAAACTGAGAGGTTTTGTTGGAGGTTTTGTTGGGGGTTTTGAGATTACAAAACAATGTGTCTTGCTTGGTCCATGACCCTTTGATTCTGTCAAGAGCTTCATTGCTTCAAACTCTCCACCAACACTGGTTTCAAATGGGAAAATTGTTGTAATTGTAAATGGAGGTTGGTCCCTGTCAGAGGTGGAACTTCAAGTTTTTTCATGTTTTGGAAGGTTGGTCCCTGTCTTCAAGTTTTTTGAAGTTTTTTGAAGGTTGGTCCCCCTCAGAGGTGGAACTTCAAGTTTTGCAGGTTTTTTGAAAGTTTTTTGCAGGTAACCGATAGATTCCGTGAACGCCAGAACTGTTTCGCAGGTGGTCTGTTCTTCCTAGTCAACGGATGACAATGCATGGATCGAGGTGCTGCGGGTGGATGGATTAGGTTGGCCATGCTTGGTCGGTGAGGGGATGGAAGCTATTTCTTCTATTGACCCTCGGACTTCCAGGGAAAGCACCTTGTTATCATATTTTGCTCGTAGGATTTTTCTATTCGAATATCGCTGTCCAGCTGCACTGCCCCTCGATTGCCAGGGTGAACGCGTCTCCGCATAGACACATTTCGTACCCATCCGCAGTGGGGATCCAAACTCCGGTTTACAACAGAGCATGAGGGCAGGCATTCCCGCAGATTGACAGGGCATTGAGAACATTATATTTCATAACGAAGTGCAATATACCCAAATGTTAAGAGATTGTCCATCATGATTTTGGTGGATCATATTGCTCAAGCTCTTGTGTATATTGCACATCCAAATCTTATAAAAAAAAATAGAAAACCCTCGTCCTAGATTCTGAAACCTTTTCCAAACTTCTGGAGTGTCCCATGGTTCCGGTGGCGCCTACACGTCGTTTGTATGGAAAGCAGCAGCCGGCCATTTCTGCTGCAAGTACCAAGGATGGAAAGCTAGGAAGAAGTGGCAAAAAGTTTGCAAAGGCTTGCAGAAAGCAGAAAGATCGGAACACGGAAAAAAACAAGATGACACAGTCGGCCAGGGCCACACAATCAGAGCTGGTTCCTAGGGCTATACATGGCTCAGCACTTAGTTTGCAAGGAAAGTGGATGCAGAAGGTGCTGTCGGGTGCCAAGAGCCTCGAGCTACGAACCTGCAACTGTCATGTCCAAGGAGTGGTTTTGCTTCTGCAGAGTGTTTCATCAACCTTGATGGGCGCAATCCGGTGTCTGCGCCTTCTTGGCAGAAATTTTGCTATGTCCATTCTTATTTTCAGACCGGGGCAAGAATAGTTTGTTCCACATAACCCAGCAGCTGCCTGCCGCAGCAAGGATTGTGGAGGGACCCACTGTCTTGGTACCTCAACAAGCAGGGCAAGGCATACGGCGCCAGCTGCAAAAAGTGCCGCCAAGCCGCAGCTCATACCCGTGCCGGAGCACGTGCCGCAGCGGTGGAAGTGCCCGAGACAGTCGACAGCAATGTGGATTGAGAATCTTCTTTGCGGTGGGGACTTTCAGCTGCAGGGGACATGCAGTCACCACCGGATCTAGAGATGGGCAGTGAAAAAGATATGCAGCCCAGAGTCGGGGGAACTAGTGGTGAAATGCGTCGTTGGATCGTTATGCTTAATTAAGGCCTTTGGTTCGATGGATGCAAGCACCTATCCTTAAATTAAGCGCATGATTTGGGGTAACTTTGCGCAGGAGTATAGCCCTCGGAATTCCAGGGCAGAATGGCATGCAGCCTATATAATTACAATCAAGGATGTATGGCAAACAGGGTTGTACCATTTTTTTTGCAAATCAATATGTTTTCAAGCGCCGTCATACTGAGGGGTGGAACCTATTCATTTTTTAGAGTTTCTAGGGGGGAGGAGGCTGGAGAAGGAGGATGGACATGTGTTTCGAAGCAGTTTCAAAGCGGTTTCGAACCTCTGATTCCGTCATCAGCATCTTCCGTGGTTTCCAGAACTTCCCCGACAGTAGTTTTTCATTCCTAGTCATTCGATCAGTTGACTTGTTCCCTTCAAGTATTGCTGTGCCCCTTGGATTTCCAGGGCGGCTTGGTTAAGAATTTAAGGGGAATTGCTTTTTCAATGGGGACGTGGATGACAGCCAAGGACACGCATTCTGAAGTAGTGCAGAAACAACTTTCATAAGAATACTTAGAAGATGGATTCGCTTAATGCAGAAGGGTTTGCACCTCATGACGTGGAACTATAGTTTCTCAGTGGCATGGTTTTACTCACACACACATATATATATATATTTGGATAAATAAACATATACATGCATGTATATGTTTCTCTATTTTTTCAGCATGTAGATTTCTTGTACATATCTCAGTTTCCGTTTACACCCCGGGATAACTGGTAGCTTTAGGAAGACACAGAATGTGCGGTCTACCAGGTGCACGGATCGCTGCAACTTTCTCAGACTCATCGCCAGCACTTGGTGCAGGGTACAGGTGCGGTTGCAGGCTGCTCTATTGTACTCGGGGATACATATCAAAGATATATGGCAATCTGGGTTCTACCATTTTTTCCGATGTGTTTTCAAGATCTCTGAAGATCAGGGGCAGAACCTATACATTTTTACAGGTGCAGTTGAAAATTGGATCCGGTAAGCGATGCAACTTCAAGATTTTGGAAGTTGTATGCACTTGGGTTGCTGTCAGGGGTGGAACTTCAAGTTTTTGAAGATTTCCATGGAGATTGATTCCAGGGAAGGATTTTCGAATTTTGCGATGTTTCTCGAAGGCTGGTCGCTGTGAATGGTGCACCTTCAAGTTTTGAAGATTTCAGCCAGGTTAGCTCGTGTCAAACGACACGCTTCAAGTTTTTGAAGGTAGCTTGGTCCCTATTGTCATGGAATTCCAAGGTTTAGAAGGTGATATATATATATATGCATCCCTATCAGAGAAGGAACCTCAAGTTTTTGAAGTTTTTTTTTCAAGCTTGTTCCTTCCCGAGATGGAACTTCAAGTTTGCGCATGTTTTTTGAAGGTTGATGCCTGTCAGGGACTGAAATTCTAATTTTGGCAGGTTTGATGAAGGTTGGTTCCTGCCAGGGGTGAAATTTGAAGTTTTGAAAGATTTTGGAAATGTTAGTTAACTGTTAATCAGAAGTGAAACTTCCAGTTTTTGAAGCTCAAACGAGGTGTCAACTTTGGTCCATGTGAGAGGTGGAACTTGAAGAGTTTCTAGGGGGGGAAGGCTGAAGAAGTGGGATGGAAATATGTTCAAAGCAATTTCAAAGTGGTTTCCAAGAGTTTTGCGACGTATGGTCCTGTAACCAATCTCTTCCGTGGTTTCCCAGAACTGCTCCGCAGGTTGGCGTTTCTTCCTAGTCAACGGGGGCACTGCATGGATCCAGGTGCTGCGGGAGGATGGATTATGTTGGCCATGACAGATCGCTTATGAAAGATTGTCAGATGGTAGCACAGCACGCTAATGTCACATAAAACCTGGCCTCTCCTGGTTGCAAGAATTGGGGACATGCAAGACAATCAGGTTGGTAACCATCCCCAAATCGATGCTACTCTTTTTAAGTATATAGTTTTCTTCGCCCTTGGAGTTCCAGGGCTTGTTAAAATCAAAGTGGTTTCCAAGTGGTTTCAAAGGAGTTTTCAGAGCTGATCCAAATTTAAAATTGGAAAATCAAATTTGCATGGAGGTGTCAGTAACACATGCATTTGTAAATGGGCTAATCTTCTGCAACTGGAAGCAACTGGGGCTCACAACTTCTTTGGTGTATATGCAGTATAGCTGTTTCTTTGTTGTTGAAACCACGTGACGCTGAAATGCTGTTCACCCATGTGCAACCGAACAAGCTGCTTTCTGTCTTCCTGCCGTTGCAGGTGCAGCAGTGTTGGCTTCTAATGGCTTCTATTAGCTTAAGGCGCCTGGTGATCTGTGCCACACGGGCTTTGAGGAAACTTTTGGGCAGAATTTGCTACTGAAGGGACCAGAGGTAGTGGCGTGAATGATGACATAATGATATGGGAAATACGTATCCGAAGTCTTCTTACTGATGGCGTGTCGTTGCTCCGTGTAGTTTCTTTGAAGCTCGTGGAATTCCGGGGCTCTTAAAGGTATATACGTACTTCGGAATAATCAATCGAATCTCTTCTTGTATGGGATAGACCGTCTTCATTCCACAGTTTCTTCATTCCACTTTGAGGATTTCTCAGATCTACAACAGCCACGAGATCCTGCACGAGATTTGCAAGACCATGAACCGTGTGCTCAAGAAGGAGACCAAAGAGTTGTTGTGTAATTATCCCCTCCTCTATGCCGCACTGGTTGAATTCGTCAGAGTTGACGAAGCCTTCGACATCACATGAGTTCAATTCCATTGCTGCGAGTTCAACAAGCTGCTCAGGGCAGCGTGGCGTGGCTCCTCAGGTGGTCAGGATGATGGTGACAACGAGGATAGCCCTAGCCCCCCGAGGATGGATGATCCCCGCAGGAACTGCGGCGCAAAGCGTTGGCCAAAGAGCCAGGATGTTCATGACGAGAGGGAGGCCGAAAATGAGGGGATGGTCGTGGGGTCTCAGACCTTTTTCAGAGCCTTCAGGGAAACCTGTGCAAACCGTTTGAAATTCCAATGCTTGAAGCTAGATATACATCAAAGTAGATCTAAATCTACGTCCTTGCTTAACATCCGAGGAATTCGGGCCCATTCAGAAGAGCGTGGCTCAAACCAGTAATCTTTTATTGCCATGATGTCCCTTGGGTTTCCAGGGCATAGGTGCGATTGAATTTAAATTTTCGGGAATAGATTGGGTACCCAATAGATGAGATACCCTTATTTTCTAACTATTCTCCTTGTTTTGACAAAATAGGCTATATACAGAAAATAGTTTACAAAAAAAGTAACTATTTAGTTAAATCTATGATTGAGAAATCGGTCTATTTTTACAAAATCGGCAGATTTTTCCCGGGACAGGGGAGTGGTAGTTTGGTAGAAAGTCGGTCGGACTTTCGCCCCTTGTTTGCAGGCGTGGGTCGGAGTTTGGTGAAGGTTTGAAGATTGATTTTTGCAACCCCTCCAGCATTTCCACGCATTGGCGTCGTACTTTGGTCAGACTTTTGTCGGAGTTTGGCCCCAAATAGAAATTATCTATTTCCTAGGAAATAAACTATTTCCTACGAAATAGGCTCAAAAAAATCTAACTATTAGTTAAATGTGTTTTTCAAAAATCTATCTATTTTTCATCCAAATCTACCAATTCTATCTAAATAGACTACTTCTTGTGAAATAGGTTATAGTCAGAAAATAAACTATTTCAATCTATTGGGTACACTTCCATGCTAAGCGTCATTGGTTTTGCCAGTGCATTTCCGGATTCTAAAGATGTTCTCGCAGCAGTTCGGGTCTTGTGGGGAGTAAGTTCGTAACTATTGCGGGATTCTTGACATATGTATGATATCCTCAGTATATGCGTACTCTATTTCAATGGATGCTATAGACACATAACACAATACAATACTTACTATACAACACAACACAATACAATACAAAACAATACAATACCATACACAACACGCCGGTCTAGCCATGCCGCATGGGAAGAAGACCCAGAAATGCAAACAGCGAGATCGTGATCGCCACAACCGATTCATCGCCAACAAAAGGCAGAAGGCTCGTACCGACCGGAGAATCACCAAGACCCGATCGCTCTAATGGATACATCTGGATACAATTTAATGCCATCACGGCACAAAGTCATTGGACTGATAGGACATGAATTGCCGCACTCATCTTCAAATGGCCAGTGCAGGTTAGCGAGTTATAGCACGGTTGATCCATGCATATGTATATCTCATAGATAATATTCAAGTTTTCTTCTTCGTAGAACCCCATAAGTACATATCCTTAAACTTTTGTCCATGAATCCAGACACGTTCTAAACCATTAATCCATGATCCGCTCAACTATGAAAGTCTCACTAAATTCCGCTAAAGTTGCCATAAAATCCCATTCTTTAACGCCACATTAAAGTCCAATTAGGTCGAGTCCCATGCATCCAGATGCAAAGATAGTGCGTCAGTTTGTGTCTCTGCAGGCTTCCAATTCCGGTTCGGTTTCTACAGTACCGGTTCGGTTCCTTTACGTTTCGTTTCCTGTTACTGCCGGTTTCCGGTTCCCGGTTCGTTTCCGCGGCCACCCTGTAATTATTCTGGGTGGTGGTTTGGAACATTTTTATTTGTCCGTGTATTGGGAATAATAATCCCAACTGCCCAACTGACTTTCATATTTGTCAGAGGGGTTGAAACCACCAACCAGTTATCCTGCATCCAGTCCGATGATTTTCCCAGCGACAAAAACCGACTCACGGTACATGGCTAGTTTCGGAGATTTCCCAGCGAGCCATGCTTGATGAAACCAGATGCATATTATATATATATATATATGGATATACAGTATACCCATCAAATCCAATTATATATGATAGAATATAAATCCCATTAACATCCCAGTAAGCCCCATTAAATCCTATTAAATCTCACTAAAAACGCATCAAATCCCATTAAAAAAAACCCAAGGGCAGACCTGATTTTAGGCGCCCGATGACCTATCTGATGACGGTCTTCCACCCTTGGCCGAGCTCAATGGTACCCGCATGAAGGCGCAGGTGCCATTAAACTTATACCCTGGTTGATTGGTTCACATAAATAGGGGTTTCCATAAATGGGGGTACTTCAAAATGGATGGCTTATAAAGGACAATTCTATTAAAATTGATGATTTGGAGGTACCCGTATGTTCGGAAACCTCCACATAGGGACTGAACAACTACCTATATAATATTTTTGGGAGATGTTTCTGATCACCAATAGAAACCGGACACCTATTTTCAACCAACTAGTATTTCATGAGATGAGATAGGGATATTTTTTATGACTCATATGGGTGGTTCTAAAAATGGGGGATCCCCAAGTCACTTTGGGTTTCAACACTAAGTCATGGCAATTTTGGATGATTTGGGGGTACCACCAAACCATGAAAATACATAAAAATACCCTTGTTGGTTGGTTATTATAATAATTAGACTACCTGGCTTAATTGGGCTTAAACCCATAGAAACCGGACACCTATCAACCAACTAGTATAGTGAGATTGGATAGGGGTATTTTTCATGGCGCATATGGATAATGTATTTACAGTTTGTATGTATATATCTATAAATACATATTGCCGGGAATTATACATACAATACAACATGTGATTGTATACTTTATGATGTATGAATTTGGACATTAATAAATAGTACATTATGTATATATATAATTATATATATACACACACTTACCTTTATGTGTCTATATGTATACATGTATGCATCTATGGATCTAAAGTCCGGTAGCGTGCACCGACATGGATCAAAGCAGGACCCATCCATCCTAGAGAAGAAAAACGCGCAGAAAACTGTCCAGGTCATCGAGTGGTTGGGCGTCATGGGCTGGTTGAGACGAGCGGAAGCATCAGATGATGAGAAGTGCCTGGGTTTCACCGCATACACTGATCACTGGGGTAAAACCATTAATTGATCATTGGGGTAGAACCATTTGTTTATCTGATCAATAATGATGGTCATCATCCCAACAGTCAACTCGATGATGGTAAATGTCGTTCTCATCATTATTGATCAATTTGGGGATGGCTCAAAACCTAGTTTTGCATATTTGGGTTATATAGGTTATATATATATATATAGATGAACATCCATTTGCCAGCTAGTTTGGTGTTCACTAAGATAGCGGGGTTTTGACCGTTTTCACCCATACCCAATCCATTCTTGGGCACAATTTCAGCAGTAGCCTGTCATGTGGTTGTTGGAGATGTTCCAGCTGATGATTTTTGGATGAAGTGGGCCTTTTGCCTCAATTTTTTGATCATTGTATGTTCTACTCCCTATATATCGTGAATCATCATGATCCACGAGCTGGGAATCCCCATTATTTGAGTGTTCCATTGTTTTTTCCACGCTGCTCAATCATAGTTGTTGTACAAACCACCTGCAAACAACTCAACCAGCTGAGTTGAGACAAGAGCCGACCGAGGATCTATTTGAACTGGCGAGATGTGGCCACAGGAAATTTGAAACAAGGCGATGAGGTGGAGTTCCTCCTGTGCATCGAGGTGCCATTCTGTATCCCAAACTTGAAAAGACAGTCATCCATAGTCATCCAGATACCCAAGCGGTTGCATCAACCACCAGATCGCGCGGGCACTGCCCACTGCTTTTGGGGACTTGGAATCAACATCTGGAAGCGAATCCCGGAATTCGACAGGAACATGAGGAACATTTAGATCATTTACAGGACATCTACCTAAAGTGGTGATTTTTAACCAATGGTTTGTGGTTCAGTGGTGAAGTTCCTACATGTTCCCACCCCCATCGATCTCCAGGAGGACGGTTCAGCTCACGCCTTGGACATCTGCACTGGCGATAGCCGTGGGCTGAAGCGACCTGCGGAGCCTGGGACCGATGGCGGAGATAGACCAAAAAATAGGGGAGATAACCTGGTGATGATGGATCCCAGCGATGACAACATCCGACAACCTGAGCATGGGGAGTAAAATGTGTACATAAACACCATATAAACACCATATAAACACCATGAAGTGCATAAAAACATGGGATCTGTCCCAGCTGTGCTAGATCCGGCGAAAGCATCCCCGCCCCCAGGACAATCAGCTGGATCAGGCTGAAGAACAGGAGGAGGCTTGAAAGCAACATTGGACTCAACTTATCCAAATGGTTGGTGATTTTTAAGAGGGAAACTATTGGATGATAATATTGGATGTCTGAATACGCATGAATACGCCCAATGTCCTGTAAGAAACAACCATTGATGGCTGAGTTAAAAGGTTCCAGAAGATCATCCTTTTTCATCCTTTTTCCCATAAACAAACTGTATGAAAAGAGCAATGTTGGGGCCAAATTTTAGGCAACATCCATATATGATGTACTCCCGTACTCGTACCTTTTTTTTTGTGTGTGCGTGTGTCTCGGTGTGGGTCTAAACGAATTGTCCTGAAGATTCTTCTGATCTTACTTTTTACTTTGTATTCAGCGTTAATCTTTGTATTGAACGATGATTTACACTTCAAATGATTGATTATGATTGGGTTCTACGTTGAGAAATTGGGGTTGCATGTGCAGCCGTTTTTTCCAGGTTGCACCGATCATGCTGTTCGCCGTTTTGACCGCTCAGGATGCACTACTTCTTCCAGGTTGGGAACAGCATTGGTCGGAGGAGTGGTTCCCATGGTTGGAACAATCAGTAAGAGACAGTCTTGTCATGTCTTGTCCAAATTCGGAGTGAGTTATATATTCTGATTGTTTCCACGATATATCACCATATGTATATATATATAATGTATATGTATGTATACATATATAGACCTATAAAAAAAAAAATATATATATAAATATACAGACATTTACGCAATATTCTTAGATTTACAGTAGACCTGGAAAGGTGTTGCGTGGACGCGCCATGCCAATGAGAGAGCAACTGTTGTTTGCTCGAACGCTGCGCAGCTCAAAGGAGTACAAGTGCTTCTACTACTGGCACCAGCCCACAAAACAGTGGCGCACTTGGTGCTGAGATGTGCTGAGCATGTCCCAACTGGTGGAATTTGTTGATCTCGAATCGCTGGGAACACATTTGGTTGCGCGTCTTTGTTCTTGAAATAGCTTGTTTTTCTGGGAACCCCGAAGTGGTTGCATTTCATTCATCACTGGGAGTTGGTGGCTGATGCATCAGACGTTTCTCATCCATTGACACCGTATACAAATGTATAGATGTCATGGTGCGCTAGTTTTTTTGTGCAATGGTGTATCCAGACTGCTTTTCACCAGTATTTTCACCTGTATACCATTGCATTGCACCAGGATTATCTCTTTACGCATCTCTACCTGGTGGAATTGGTAAACTTCCAGGGATTCAGCCTGCATTCAGCCGGCAGGTCATCTTGTGAACGGCCTGCACTAGCACGGATTGAAGGCACGTGGTCAGCGACTGCAAAAGCTATGTACATCATTTTGAAAGAATGATGATGATAATGATATGATATGACTGATATGTGAGACTGAATGTGACTGATATTTAGATGTATTTAGGCAAAAAAATAGCCGATTTAATCGAAGGAAGTTAGAAGTCAAACTTCCGACAATATGGAGAGATGAAAAAGCGGACGTGGGAAGAGGCAGAGAAGAGAAGAGAAGAAGAGACAAGACCAGAGAGAAGAAAGAGTCAGAAGAAAGAAGATGTAGGTGCGGGAAAAGGTAGAAAAGTCGCGGAACATTGCGTTTTTCCAATGATTTGTGGCTCCGGAGGGTCGAAAAGTAGGCTCGCTAAAGCGGCGGGTGCGGAGCCATCTGGCCAGATGAGAGATGAACACTTGCACGCCGTTGTGGCGCGAAGCATATTTGGAAGTAAACATGTACAAACCACACCATTCTCCGAGCACTCTTGGAAGTTGAGATGTCGAAAAAGTGCACGCCGTTGTGGCGCGAAGCAAATTTCGAAATCAAAACGTACAAGGCACACCAACGTCGGAGCATCTTTGGAAGTTGCGATGTCGAAAAGGTGCACGTTGTTGTGGCGCGAAGCACATTTCGAAGTCAAAATCTACAAAACACACCATTCTCGGAGCACTTTTGGAAGTTGAAATGTTGAAAAAGTGTGCGTCGTTGTTGCGCGAAGAACATTTCCAAGTCAACATGTTAAAAACACCACATGTTCGGACCACTTTTGGACGTTCAGATGTCATTTCGCGTGGCAGGCGCAAGGGATTCTCCACCCTGCCAAAAGTGAGCAAACCGTGCAGGTTTTGTGGCATTTCCAAAACCGATGGCAGGCGTGGGACATTTGAAGGGGATCTCCAAAGATGGATTACAAGAGACATGTTCATCAGAGATGTTACAGTACGAGCTGATATCCTGAGAGGGGTTGCATTTTGGAGCATCAGATCTTCAGGTTTGCTAAGATGATTTTGCCTGACAGGTGCAGCACTTCGCATGACCCGGCATCACTTTTTCGTGGCAGGCGCAGCACTTTACACAGATGGAGTAGAAAAATCGCAAAACGCATTGGTACGAGGCCGTCAGCTCTGCACTCAACTTTCTATTTTTGAAGGACGTCTCGCAGAACTGCTTCGTTTCTGATGTTGTCAAGTTGGAAAGCTGTGGACGTCTCGCAGAATTGCTACGTTTTTGGTGTTGTCAACTTCGAAAATGGAGGAAATCTCGCAGAATAGCTTCGTTTTCAAACTTGCAGGTAGACAGATAGATAGGTATAGGTAGGTAGGTAGGTAGGTAGATAGATAGATAGATAATACCCCCAACTACTAAAGGGTTTGAAATGGTATACCCAGGGCTCTCCCGAGGGGGGGTCTAGAATGGTATTTTTTCATGTTAGACCCCAACCCCCTGATGATCTCAGACCCCTCAACATAGGTTTTTATCATACTTCCCATAATCATAATAGACCCCAAAACTGATGATTCCAGACCCCCCACCGTTTAGGTCTAATATGATCAATCTCATTTTTGACAATTTGAGGGGGTGGTTTCACCCTAGACCCCTTTTTGGGGTCTGGAATCATTCCACCCCCCCCCAAAACTTCCTCCCACATTTGGGGTCTAAAATCAAAAACGTAAAAGGGGGGTTTACAAAAAAGATATTAGACCCTGCTACGTTATCTCACATAACTTGATGTAAATTTTAACGGGTTTCCTACGTTTTTGATTGTTTTCGTACCCCTTTTGAAATAATTTTTGGATCTGTGTGATCTCAAAGTAGGCATTTTTGTTTGTGCATTATTTTTTTGGACATGCAATGTGTTTTTCAGACCCCACATAATGGACCAACAGGGCACATCATCGCACAACATGTTTTTTTTCTGCGTCGCCTTGTCTTGTGGTCTTGTCTTGGAACTTTGCTCACCCAAAGCAATGTTCTGATTTTATCTAATTTTGGCATCTTGCCAAGGGTTGGCATGTTGCCAACTTTCACTATCTTTCCCTGATCTGCTCCAAGCTTTTCATGGAACACAGCATCAGCAAGGCGATGGCTCTAACTCTGCAGGTTCTCTTCGCAGCTCTTTGATAGAAAGAATAGAAACGAATCCTGAAAAAAAAATGTATGAAATTATAGACGGCTATTCATTGTTATTCATGGCCAAGGCACCTCGCCACGACGCGCGAGTTATACCATTCAAACATGACAAAATGTAAGTACAATTCAACATATATAATATGACAAAATATTGCATCATTTCAAAACATGCAAGAAAAACAATGTAGAGCTCAAAAACAGGGCATAGGCTCACAACAGAGGGTCTAGGTTGGTCTTACTTGGAGGTTGAACCATTCTTTCAACAGCTGATGATGCAAAATACCATTTCAGACCCCCAATGAAACAAAAAAACTGAATTCCACAGCTCAACCCCTGGCATTTTCTGTTGGGACTTTCAACCTGTTGGGACAAAAACACATTAACAAAAAGGGTCGTATTTCAAGATTCACACACCATTCAATTGGACATCATTTCAAAATATGCAAGAAAAACAATGTAGAGCTCACAAATAGGGTATAGGCTCACAATAGAGGGTCTAGGTTGGTCTTACTTGGAGGTTGAACCATTCTTTCAACAGCTGATGATGCAAAATACCATTTCAGACCCCCAATGAAACAAAAAAAACTGAATTCCACAGCTCAACCCCTGGCATTTTCTGTTAGGACTTTCAACCTGTTGGGACAAAAACACATTAACAAAAAGGGACGTATTTCAAGATTCACACACCATTCAATTGGACATCATTTCAAAATATGCAAGAAAAACCATGTAGAGCTCACAAACAAGGCATAGGCTCGCAACAGAGGGTCTAGGTTGGTCTTACTTAGAGGTTGAACCATTCTTTCAACAGCTGATGATGCAAAATACCATTTCAGACCCCCAATGAAACAAAAAAAACTGAATTCCACAGCTCAACCCCTGGCATTTTCTGTTGGGACTTTCAACCTGTTGGGACAAAAACACATTAACAAAAAGGGTCGTATTTCAAGATTCACACACCATTCAATTGGACATCATTTCAAAATATGCAAGAAAAACAATGTAGAGCTCACAAATAGGGTATAGGCTCACAATAGAGGGTCTAGGTTGGTCTTACTTGGAGGTTGAACCATTATTTCAACAGCTGATGATGCAAAATACCATTTCAGACCCCCAATGAAACAAAAAAAACGAATTCCACAGCTCAACCCCTGGCATTTTCTGTTGGGATTTTCAACCTGTTGGGACAAAAACACATTAACAAAAAGGGTCGTATTTCAAGATTCACACACCATTCAATTGGACATCATTTCAAAAGATGCAAGAAAAACCATGTAGAGCTCACAAATAGGGTATAGGCTCACAATAGAGGGTCTAGGTTGGTCTTACTTGGAGGTTGAACCATGCTTTCAACAGCTGATGATGCAAAATACCATTTCAGACCCCCAATGAAACAAAAAAAACTGAATTCCACAGCTCAACCCCTGGCATTTTCTGTTGGGACTTTCAACCTGTTGGGACAAAAACACATTAACAAAAAGGGTCGTATTTCAAGATTCACACACCATTCAATTGGACATCATTTCAAAATATGCAAGAAAAACCATGTAGAGCTCACAAATAGGGTATAGGCTCACAATAGAGGGTCTAGGTTGGTCTTACTTGGAGGTTGAACCATTCTTTCAACAGCTGATGATGCAAAATACCATTTCAGACCCCCAATGAAACAAAAAAACTGAATTCCACAGCTCAACCCCTGGCATTTTCTGTTGGGATTTTCAACCTGTTGGGACAAAAACACATTAACAAAAAGGGTCGTAGTTCAAGATTCACACACCATTCAATTGGACATCATTTCAAAATATGCAAGAAAAACCATGTAGAGCTCACAAATAAGGTATAGGCTCACAATAGAGGGTCTAGGTTGGTCTTACTTGGGGGTTAAACCATTCTTTCAACAGCTGATGATGCAAAATACCATTTCAGACCCCCAATGAAACAAAAAAAACTGAATTCCACAGCTCAACCCCTGGCATTTTCTGTTGGGACTTTCAACCTGTTGGAACAAAAACACATTAACAAAAAGGGACGTATTTCAAGATTCACACACCATTCAATTGGACATCATTTCAAAATATGCAAGAAAAACCATGTAGAGCTCACAAATAAGGCATAGGCTCACAATAGAGGGTCTAGGTTGGTCTTACTTGGGGGTTAAACCATTCTTTCAACAGCTGATGATGCAAAATACCATTTCAGACCCCCAATGAAACAAAAAAAACTGAATTCCACAGCTCAACCCCTGGCATTTTCTGTTAGGACTTTCAACCTGCTGGGACAAAAACACATTAACAAAAAGGGTCGTATTTCAAGATTCACACACCATTCAATTGGACATCATTTCGCAAAATATGCAAGAAAAACAGCATGTCAGATGCTCAGCTCAAAACAAGGCAGTAGGTCTCAAGATTCACAACAAGAGGGTCTAGGTTGGTCTTACTTGGAGGTTGAACCATTCTTTCAACAGCTGATGATGCAAAATACCATTTCAGACCCCCAATGAAACAAAAAAAACTGAATTCCACAGCTCAACCCCTGGCATTTTCTGTTGGGACTTTCAACCTGTTGGGACATTGGTCAAATTTGGAATTTGCACCTTTGGGGTCTAAGATTGGTTGTCCCAGAAAGGGGGTCTGACATTGTAAGGTCACTGAAAACAAATCGATCACCAAACATGGGGTCTGAAATCTTTTCGGGCCCGTTTTTTTTGGGGGGTCTATTCTTAACCTACCCGAACTTGACATCACTTGTCAGCATCATGATAACCCTGTTCCACATGATCCTAGACCCCTATTTGGAATACCCAGGGGGGGGTCTAGGATCATGGTCTAAAAGTTACGGTTTTACTGGGAGCACACAATTTCAGACCCTTGGATTTTGGGGTCTATTATGAAAAACCAACCCCCCCCTGGCAGTAGTTGGGGGTATGATAGATAGATAGATAGATAGATAGATAGATAGATAGATAGATAGATAGATAGATAGATAGATAGATAGATAGATAGATAGATAGATAGATACATAGATAGATAGATAGACAATCACAACTACGACTACAGCTACAGCAACAACTGCAACTACACTACATACGCTACACTAAACTAATTACACCACACTACAACTACAATGTTACAACTACAACTACACTACATTACACTACACCACACTAATTACACCACACTACGCTACTCTCACTACACTACAGCTACAGCCACACTACAACTACAACTACAACTACACTACACTAGGCAAATTACACTACACTAATTACACTAATTGCACCAATTACGCGAATTACATTAATTTCACTAATTGCACTACACTAAACTACACTACACTGCACTAACTACAGCTACAACGAAGCTACAACTACAACGAAGCTACAACTACAACTACAACTACTCTACACCACACGAGACTACACTATACTACACTACAGTACGCAACACAACAGTACACTACACTACGCTACATTACGCTACACTAATTACACCACACCACAACTACAACTGCAACTGCAACTACAACTACACTACACTAATTGCACTACACTACAACTACAACTACAACTACAACTCGACTACACTACAACTACAACTATACAGCTGCACTACAGCACGCTACATCCAGCAGTTGTGGGTGAGGTGACCACAGCAACCATTGCAACCACTCCAAACAACACAACTCCAACCACCTTTCCGTCCATCAGTGGATTCGCTCTGCCATCCGTGCATCACAGCAACTCACCTCTCCTATAGCGTCCTATTCTTGAAACTTCCGTCACCACCTTGCGCGGCACTACTGCCATCTTTCATGAAGATCATTACCGACAATGGGAATGGGGGGCCTTCAGGTCCAACCAAACAACAATGTGTAGCTGGTAGCTGGGAGCTAACTGGGATATACATGCTATATACCAAGGGTACAATGTGGGTATACTAAATGAACATATATAGTGGACATATAATGGGATATCATGGGGTGATCAATATGATTTTGGGGCCTGAAAATGGGAAATGCCATTAAATACCCATTTCTACAGGGAAAATCAGAATAAACTACTGAATTTTGGGGTGCAATATTTTCAGACAAACCGACGTGCTGCAACAGCAAAACCACAATATTTTTTGTGTCGATTGAAACTCAAATTGCAAGAGGGGTTTACCAAAAATGGACACACCGATAACAAAAGAAAATCTCGCCGAAAAATGAGTTTTTTCGATGCTGGAACGAAGTTCGACTGGTTTCTGGCCTACGTTTTACTTCCAAGTGGGTGTCTTATCCGCGTTAAAATTTCAGCTACAGATTGAAGGGCCCTGGCCTAACAATCTATATAATGCATTTTATAAGTAAAACAGGGTTTAAAAAATGCACCCAGGGCCACCATTTTGTTGCAAAGTAGTTTTTTTAAGGCTGTGTGTGGGTTTATATGGAGGCCGTGAAACCATTTTGTAGCTGTTCTTGTTTGGATAACACATTATAACATTAAACAAACAAATCATTTTTGTAGCAACTTGCTGTTTCACCCGTAAAACATTTTGTAGTTTTTTGGTTGGCAATCCCTCCACTGGATCTGTAGAAGGATGTAATAGCTACAAAATGACCTGCAACAAAGCAAGAGGTAACATGTCGGATGTTGAAGTTAGAAATAAAGCCCTTGGGCATGACATTTTGTAGCAAACCTATGTTGATGCCCCTGGACCCTGGTTTTTCATTTTGTAGTTGGGTGTTTTTGATGGTGGTTGTTCATTTTGTAGCAAACCAGGGTAAGGCCCGAGGTTTGTACTAATAAAATAAGCGGGCACAAGGGCTCCCCGGATATTTCAACCCGGATGGTTTCTTGACATTTGAAAGTTTTCACCTGGGGGATGTCACATGCTGGCCAACCGATTCTGGAAAGCACATATGTTTGGATCACTTTTGGTAATTTGAATTGGAGACCAGACTCTTTGGTGTGGGTTACTGTAGTTAATCCACTTGCAATCGCCATTTTTCACATGAAGTCAGCCATTTCAGCCCAGACATCATTTTACCGATCAACACTAACTTGTTCATTTTATGTCCTGGGTCACTCACACTACCCAGCTGGGTCAGCTGGGTCAAATGCCAGGGGAAGAAGAGGCCATACAGAACGCTGGTCTGAGATTTCACCAACCCAAATCTGGGTAAACCTTCGTCGGGTAGATTTACATAATTTCATACGCTTACATGTACGATATGTACAGTTTTACAATGATTGTTTTATAGAGTTTCCATCGGTATCAGTTACAGTATTGTTTTGCCATAGTGGGAGAATGTAATGCACAGCGTTATCCAGCTACGTATCTTGCATTTCCATGACATGTTGGTATTTCACCAACCATTCCTCTTTTTAAAGTAGCGATTTAACTACGCGTAAATGGGATAGACCTCACAATGATGGTCTTTCAACGAGTATTTGTGAGCAAGGAATGTAATCAAAGAACAAGACGGAAGAGCTCCATCCAAATTTGGTTCCCCTATGTTTGGTTTCAACGCTTTGTGACGGTTTGAATAGCCATGTGAGACCATGTTCGTGAGGATATGTATACGTCTCAGTTTCGAACCTGGATGAAAGTTGTAGTCTGGGACAGGTCCCTGCCCGGTAACGAAAAAGTGGAGCCAGCCAGACAACTTTCTAGAGCCATCACAATGCAAAGTCAAACCCAGGTCACAAAGGGTTCGTTTTTTGGTTTCAACGTCAAGCAGGACCTATGATAATGCGGGATTATCCCGAGTTAGTAAATGCTAGAAACTTAGAAACTCAATTTGCTGGGATGACGTATGTACATATCATGATTAATGATAATAATGATAATGATATCTATCATCTATCATCGAATCATCTATCTTTTTTCATCTATCATCCATCCGTCTATCCGTCTAACCGTCTATCCATCCATCCGTCCATTCATCCATCCGTCCATTCATCCATCCATCCATCCATCTATCCATCTATCCATCTATCCATCTATCCATCCATCTATCCATCCATCTATCCATCCATCCATCTATCCATGCATCCATCCATCTATCCATCCATCTATCCATCTATCCATCTATCCATCTATCCATCTATCCATCTATCCATCTATCCATCTATCCATCTATCCATCTATCCATCTATCCATCTATCCATCTATCCATCTATCCATCTATCTATCTATCTATCTATTTATCTACCTATCTACCTATCTACCTATCTACCAATCCGTCCATCCATCCATCCATCAATCAATCAATCAATCAATCTATCAATCTATCTATCTATCTATCTATCAATCATACAATCATACATGTATCAGAAATCATAATACGCATAACAACGGTAAATACACAACATGCTAATTTATATATAATAAAATATATCCCCGAACATGGATGGTTGGACAATGTCAGATATTGTTGCCGAACGTCACCACGTTTGTGGTTCCGTGGGTATCCTATTTTTGAGCCATAACCATCTATGATGCATTGACACCCTGGGAAGGGCAGCCAAGCAGCTCCTACAGTTGCACCAAGCAAGCCTGTGATGGCCAATGGGCAGCTTCGGCGGGCATCTCAGAAGCCATTTTGAGGAGGGAAAACCATGAATTCATACCGCTGGTCGACCACAATCGCTGGATCCCCAGGTTCCCAAATAAATCCAAAACAATTGTTTGGAATTTGTAGACTGACAACTTGGCAAAAATTGCACTTGGATCTATATACGTATTTTGCTTGTCAACTTCCAGGCCGTCCCAAGCGCAGCCGCGCAAAGTGTTGCCGCGTGCAAAACCAGCCGGACAGGTGGGAGCACTCAGCACTTCACCATTGTTCAGAACAGCTTCTGACAGGGGGATGGTTTTTCCAAAATGAAAGCACAATGAACGGGGAAATAAATGGGCTGTGGATACCCCACGATTGACATTGAATGTCCCTTTTTTCCCAACATTCCGAAAAGGGAGAGGGAATAGCTGTGACCCAGCCACAAAGTGGTTCTCCTATGTCCTATGTTCTCCTCAGTTGTAACTTAGTTTCAAATCCATCCAGCAGTAGGTATACTTGGGTTTTCCTTGGGTCCAATTCCCTGACAATCCCATATAAACATGTCACTTATTTCTATCCCATTATCTCCTCATGAGAACCCCTTAGGCTATAGTGGTTGCTGTTGCCGAATTTTCGAATGGCTTGAAACATGTTGAAACCACCATCCAAATTGATCCCAGCCTGCAGATTCCTCGTCAACGCCCTCACCTCAGCATCGTGGAAGCTGGAGACACGAGGAAATTTTCTGGTATGGAAAGGTCGTTGAACCCGAAACATCATCATACGCCACCATACATCATCACTCATCATCTTACGTCATCATATGTCATCATATGTCACCATTTATATACCCATTTATGTGTTACACATGTGATTATTATATTTGTTACACATGTAATTCCATGTAATTACATGTTTGTAAGTATATTATATATATATTAATATAAATGTGCACCCACACATACCATATCTACAACATCTACAGCATCTATACAACCTACAAAGTCCACAACATCCACACAACCAACAGAACCTACAAGATCTACAGTATCCACAACAACTACAACACCATACATCACAACATTTGCAGCATCTACAACAGCTACACCATTTACATCAAAACCATTGCACATCGAAGGAGCACCAAATATGATCAATTATAACGTTCACCACCATCCATTGATGGCAACCCTTTGGGGTTTTCCCAAGACTGATGAACTATCCTATTTGTCTGATTTGGTGGTTCATGGTTGACTTATTGATTGTTGGTACTCGATTTCCCGAATGACCAGTTGGGCCAAGGTTATGGTCAGCGCTGAGGCAGGGCGCAGCATCAGAAGCGTCATGATCCCATAGCCGCATGGATACATCCACATGGGTACAAATTGGACACCGTCATGGAATGGTTTGGACCCCCAAACATGGATAAAAACCATATAAAAACCATATAAAAACCATATAAAAACCATATAAAAACCCATGTTGTGCTTCACTTGCTATCCCATGTTTGATCAGCCATAGCTGCCCAGGCCATGTGAAAGCAGCACTCCGATCGCGGTTTGGAAAATGCTTTTGGTCAGGGATCGAATCCTGTCATTCTTGATGTGGGGGGTTCCATAAATGGGGGTATCCCCAAATGGATGGTTGATAAAGGAAAAGCCCACTTAAAATGGATGATTTTGGATGGGGTACCCCTATTTCAGGAAACCTCCATGTAGAGTTTGAAAAAACGCATGTGGACAGGACTGCTTACGAAGCCAGCCGGTCGGTCGAAACTCCATCTTGGATTTGCTATTCTTGATTTCCTGTTTCTTTATCGACCATCGGGAAAGCATTGGGAATATGTTGGGCTGTCTTCAAGAGATCCAAGATCATCCAAGATGCAGAGATCCATGTGAATTAATGATAACTCATATATATATATATAGCACTATATTATGATATATACTGTATCAATCATCCATCATCATCCATCATCATCATCATCATCAACCATTAACCATTAACCATCATTAATAACCATTAATCAGCCTGTCAGCCATTCATCAGCCAAATTCCATGTCAGATCCAAGATCATCCAAGATGCAGAGATCCATGTGAATTAATGATAACTCAATATATATATATAGCACTATATTATGATATATACTGTATCAATCATCCATCATCATCCATCATCATCATCATCATCAACCATTAACCATTAACCATCATTAATAACCATTAATCAGCCATTCAGATCAGCCATTCATCAGCCAAATTCCATGTCATCCCGCAGCCGTTTGTCACGGCCCAGCTTTTTTAGACCGCCGACCTACTCGCCATATTAGATGATATCAGATGATATTAGATGATATCAGATGATATAGATGATATCAGATGATATTAGATGATATAGATGATATCAGATGATATTAGATGATATCAGATGATATCAGATGATATCAGATGATATCAGATGATATTAGATGATATCAGATGATATTAGATGATATCAGATGATATTAGATGATATCAGATGATATAGATGATATTAGATGATATAGATGATATCAGATGATATCAGATGATATCAGATGATATAGATGATATCAGATGATATCAGATGATATCAGATGATATTAGATGATATCAGATGATATTAGATGATATCAGATGATATCAGATGATATCAGATGATATTAGATGATATCAGATGATATTAGATGATATCAGATGATATCAGATGATATCAGATGATATTAGATGATATCAGATGATATTAGATGATATCAGATGATATTAGATGATATCAGATGATATTAGATGATATTAGATGATATCAGATGATATCAGATGATATCAGATGATATCAGATGATATTAGATGATATCAGATGATATCAGATGATATTAGATGATATTAGATGATATCAGATGATACTAGATGATATCAGATGATATCAGATGATATCAGATGATATCAGATGATATTAGATGATATCAGATGATATCAGATGATATTAGATGATATCAGATGATATCAGATGATATCAGGTGATATCAGATGATATCAGATGACATTGGAATATTTTAGGATCGAATAGAAGGAATTTTGGAAGGGGATATAGCCTTTGGAAGTGCATTGACAATTTGAGTATTGATTTGGTGCATGTGCGCTTCCTACTTTCATCCACGTGCCATGAAGTCAAAATGTAGCAGTGACCTGTGGCCCCATAAAGAGCAAGGATTTGGACTGCATTCAGACGTTTGACCAGGACACCCATTGTGTGATTGATTAGTGTGGATATCCATGAGCAGTATACAATACACTGCAAGGTTCAGCTAAACACATCTAAGCCATTTCTATTCTAAACCCACATTTGCTGAACAATGGAATCCGCGGCTTGCTGAGATCTCTGATGATGGTCGCTTGGACCCTCAGTCTTGGAAGGTCCTTGCACCATGCGTTCCAGATGCATATATACTGTATATAGGCATATCGTGACATATCTAGATTCGGGTCATTTCTTGAGATTCAACGACCCCAGCAAACGGGAGAACCTCCAACATGACTTCATTTTAGGTTGGTGAATTGATCTATCAAAGATATTCAAAGATCAATATACACGATTATACACTACGTAATTAACAAGGCACAACAATAATGCCATTGATATAGCCTGGACATAGTATGATTAATTATCCCATGGGATTGTTCTTGATTGTTGTGAACATATCAATCGATATATTTGTATGTTATAAGTTATATTCATAAAATCAATTACAGCACCCTCCATTCAAGATGACAAGTTTTTTCCCTGTGGTTGTTTGGCATCCCGTCATTAACATTAATCCCCATGAATAAATTCATAATTCCATTAATACACATATTAGCACCGCAATGTATAATCACCATACATGATATTATCAATCATTGTTGATCATATTTGATATGAAGGAGTTGATTGATAACAATCAATCACAATGATATCAATGAATAGTTACTTTGGGTAAATCGGTGAATCACATTGAGATATCCTATAGATTCTACAAAGAGTATATAAATACCTTTGTTTCATCGTCATATCCATGTATTGATAAAAGATAAAAAGTGATACATGAACATGAATGATAGTCAAAAAAACATACCATTCATCTACCAAGCAAAATCAATTAACAGTCATTTTTGAATCATGAATATCCCAATTAATTATGAATAATTATATATATATAATATATATATTAAAGTTATAGCAGTTATTGATAAAATGTTTTGGTGTTAACCATCTATCATCATATATCTATGGTAGAAGTTAAGACTACGTATATATATATATACACTCTTATTAACTATCGATAAAGCGATCATATCCCGAGTAAGAGTCCTTATTGATCTCAGTACGTAATTTCTGAATGATGAGGCAATATACCACTAATTAATATCCAAATTATATCATAAATATGTAACAGCTAGTAAATAGTAGTAACCGTTATTATTCTCATCGATGAAACCTAGTACTAAAAATATTGACTATATATAGATAATTTCCAGTTCGATATCGGCTTTTAAGTACTATTACAAATGATGATGACTTGATACTTGTTGTAATACTTGACTCCTGTTAACTATAGAGTATTAACTAACTATTTGCAGATGATGGTAATTCGCCAATTATATAAATATAAAATATAAATATACATATATTACTAATGTATACAAATACATATTTATTGAACTAATGTTAACTATAGATAATACCCTCTGGTTATTTAACATAACCATGGTATAGATGGCCCTAATCAAAATAGATGGTGTACCTAGCTATAAAATGGGTGGATCTTTCCATGGCTATGTTAAATAGTACCCTCTGGTAATTTAACATAGCTATTGAAAATGGTCATTTATAGTTGATTTTCCCATTAAAAATGGTGATTTTCCATGGCTATGTTAAATAACCAGATAGTGGTCATATCAGGCTTGCGCTGTGGCGCTGACCGCGCGCTTCGCGGCGGATGCCTTCGTGCCGCTGGTGGGCCTTGGCCGAGCGGCGCCGGCGTAGGGAAAACCCAGTGACTATGCAACCGGGTTTAAGGATTGATGATGCTTAGTTATAATATAACAGGGTCATATTATATCTCTATATGTATAGTTATTTTACTTATATTATAGCTATAATGAATATACTCGTATGTTTTTTTTGATCAGATATGTGTACAGTGTAGACTATGTCACATGTAGCATATATGTTTGTATATGTGCTGCAGCCATTTTAGTGCTTTCAGCTACCTTCGAGCTGACTGAGTGAAAAGGTGCTGATCAGTGTTCAGGAGTGTTCATCAGATTTAAGAGCCCAAATTCTCTGTTCATGGTAGCGGAGCTGAGGTTCTGATACCCAGCTGTGAATGTGTAGGTGTCAACGCCGAGCTGCATCAGCTCTGGCGCGCCCACCCAGTGCCAACTGGAAAAGGTTGACACTCAAGCTCCTGAAAATCAGGAAAATCCAAAGATACTTCCATAACCTTGGAGTGCATCTCCAAAGGTACCCAAGGGTTCTCTTGAATCAGGTCTCAAAGCACCTGAAGAACGACTAAGGATGGCTCAGCAACAGCAGCCACCTCAGCAACCAGGCACTCCACCAGCACCAGCACAAGGACAGACCAACGGTCCCAACATGTCCCAGATGGTTATGCAGATGATGGCCCAATTGACTCAGGGTCAGGCGCAGTTGAGCCAGGCAATGACCGAGGCTATGAACCAGCAGCTTCAGATCAACAGAAATGTTGAGAGATCTGTTGAGTACAAAGACAGATCAGAGTTGAAAGGCATACCAAAACCTGATAAGTTCACTGGAGCATCAGGCACTTGGGATAGTTGGTGGTACAAGTTTAAGACATGGGTTGAAAGTTGCCACAAGAATGCTGTGAAGATTGTGGCACAAGTTGAATCTCAGTGTGACAAAGAGATCACTGAGTCAAGTCTAGAAGTAGACTTTGATGAAGGCGCCGAGCTAGTTTCAGCTCAGGCTAGACAAGCCCTCATATCATTGACTGAGGGAGAAGCGTTGGAAATTGTCAAGAACACATCTCGTGGTAGCCACTTTGGCCTAGAAGCCATGAGACGACTGTTGTGCAAATATGATCCTCAAAATCCTCAAGCCAATTCAGCCTTGTTGAAAAAGGTTCTGCATCCAAGTCAATGCAGTCTTGATAAGCTTCGAGAAGGGCTTGAGAGTTGGGAGAACTTGAAAAGAAAGTACGAAGACAGGAGAAAGAAACCACTTGAAGATGACATCTGCAGGAGTTGCTTGCAGCAGATGTGTCCCAACAAGTTGCAAGAT